AGTAGTTGGGACTACAGGTGTACACAATGATGCATGGCTAATTTTTTCTATTTTATATGTTTAGTAGAGACGGGATCTTGTTGCTCTGGCTGGTCTTGAACTCCTGACCTCAAGCAATCCTCCCGTCTTGGCCTTCCAGAGTGAAGTACATTTGGTTCTAAAGCTTCTTCTGCCATTGATGAGCAATGTGGTTTGGCAGGTGACGTAAATTCTGCCTAAACTTTCCTTTTGTTAAAAGAGGGAATTTCTTGTACGTATCTCATAGGAATATGTGAAACACTGAAGCACTTTGAACTATGTAGAGTTCAGTACAACTGATTAGATCACATCTCAATTTGCAGGTTGCAAATCATAGCCTGGCAACATCATAGAGTTAATGATGACTCTTTTCATTTTTTTTTTCCAAAAAAAAAAAAAAAAAGCCCAAGATAAAAAAGTCTCTGATTTGCAATGAATTAAACTTTGCCAAACTTTCTAAATACTTATGAAATTTCTAGAATTGACAATGAAATACACTTAATATGACTATTATTTCTATTGCTTTTAGAAATTTTTGCAATTTAAAAATTAAAAATTTGAACACATGATCTTTCTCTAATTTACCCTTTCTGGCTATTCCTGTTTGTCTTCTTCTTTCTTCCCTTCCAATTTCTCAGAGCCTAAGTTAAAACTTGAAAAAAAGAAGTGCATGTGACACTATTCGGGGAGAGGAGGTTAACTGTTTTTAAGCATCTGGTTTTCATCTTATTTAAGGCATGGAAATGGGAATTGGGACCTCGTAGATCCAGTATTGACTTAGCAGATAAGAGGAGAAAGCAGTCCCAAGGAGAAAGCCTATTCCATGAGAAAGAACTTTGCACCGGCAGGAATAGTAGTAGCACTAAACAAATATGGGGCAGTAACGTGTACAGGGAAGAGGACAGGTAGGAAAAAGATTAAAATTCTGTGAAGAAGTTGAAAAGCATCATCATCATTATCATGGTCACAGTTCTGACAAATAGAAACAAATGAAAAGCCACAGGAAAAAAATTAGATGAAAAAGAAAATGGTTGATACTTTGGTGAAATTGAAAAAACTTGTAGCATTTAACTTGCTGCTAAAAAAAAAAACCTTTCAAACAAAAAATTTTTTGTTGTTGTTGAGGATCAATGAAGGAGGATTTTGGCAGAAAGACCAACAGACTACAACTGGTTTCTCTTCTTTGGAAAAGAGCAGAAGGTGTAAATGAAAACATAAACCAGTGTTTGTATGCTTAGTTAACATTCAGCTTTTCTTCCTCCTTCATAAAAATAATTTATGTTGAAGTTTTGTACTTTACCCTATCCTTTTTCATTGTTTTAGTCTTTAAAATTAATAATTGTAGGTCATTATCAATAGATCAGTAAATGGAGACAAAAGGAAAGCATTTGCCTCGAACTACTTTATTAGTCAAAGGAAAGAACTGGCCGTCACGTTGATAACCTCTAAATTCTTGGTTTCTATTATTACCAGACTGCCATTAACTGCCGAAGAAGAAATTCTATGCTGTCTAGTAAGATCTTCTATCTGTACTCCTTAAAGGAAGAAGATGAAACAATCGGTAGCCCCAGCCCTTAATCTTCTGGAATTCTTATGCACAGACAGGCACACTCTCATGGTGGTCTTGCTCAGCTCCTGCTGGCAGCCAAGAAGATGAGGTGGGAGTCCATTCAAAATCCACCAGTAAACAGCTGTTTACTGACCAATATTTAAATTGACTTTCAATACTGAGGAAGACCCTGAGCATGTGGAATTACAACACTCATTACCTCACAGTACTTATTTTTTCTAAGGCCTGTATTTTCTGTCCAATTCTGTTTCTGGGATAAAGTACCATTATCATTTGTTCTCAATGCCTTAAATTTCATCTACACAATCAATTTTACTGATAATTTCTGAAAATCCTTAAGTAGTCCTGCAAAAACATGGCTTAGTGTGAGCTTCCCCTTATGCATTAGGTCTATGTAAATGTACCCTGCTCAGTTTTTTCACTTGCTTTCAAACTTGGACCTTGGAGGTCAAGACCTGGGAATTTAAGAGTAACGGGAATTTTAATTGGAAACATTTCATACTTTGACCAATAATGGGAAAAAATGTCCTCAAACTTGATTGGTTCTAGCCACAGTGGCCAGTCACTATTTCTCAAACAATTGTACATACAATTACAGTTAGGAAAGATCTCTCCCTCAAAAACAGATTCCTGAGGAAAGCAAATCGAAAGAATAAGGGAGGGGAATAATGTGTTTTGATTTCTCAAAAGTCTTATTTACTGTCCAATTAATTTTGATCCTTAGGCCTTTGGACATGCTAGCAAGTAATTATTCTTATGGCTGATAAAATACTAAATATTCACTATTAATAGCAGTTTCTGAATCACTAATTTTTTCTAAGTCAGTCATCTAGGTTTCTAAAAATTTCTTCTTGCTAGACACATGAGCCAGGTGCCGAGAGTTGACCCAGTGCCAAGTCTCAGGACCGTCCAGTCTAACACATCAGATTTTCAGCCAGGCCTTCTGAATATTCTCGCAGTTAGAAAATCTATCCCCCCAGACTCACAGATGCTGTTCTTCCCCCACTGGCTCTGCACAGAACATCATTATCTTTGCCGAGCTTCTGTCTCTATGGCAATAACAGATGGGAAGTGCTGTGGAATTATTCATGTTCAGAAAAGGAGGCAGTCAAGAAGGAAGAAAAGGTGGGGGTGGGGGAGGGGGCACGACCTGGGAGCACAGCGATGGGGGCTTAAGGAAGGGAACTTAGGCGGGGTTGGGGGCTGGCGGGGATGGAGAGGCTTGTGAGCCTTTGCTAGGCCTATTATGCAGAAAAGAGGGGAGAACAATCTACCAGTTTTTCCATTTGGCCGACTCCAAATGTGAACCCCCATATGAGCAACCCAAAGCAGTAAAACTAAGAGAAATGGGAATGAAAATGGGCGAAAAGAAGAAAAGGGACAAAGCTCGAGTCTCCTGAATTTTGTGCACTGTCTCTCGGTGGTCTATTTCGGTTCCTGATCTTGCGCTGGGATGGAGAAAAGGGGATTTCTTGTTGTGTCGAAATATGATGGAGCAGCTCCACACAGTTCACTATGTATGCTAACTGGCTAACCTGAGAACCAAGAAGGGCCCCCCTACCCGCCCCAGACGCTCACAGCAGAAAAGCTAAGTCGTATCTTTCCCCACCTCGTCTCATTTCTCTCCAAAAACCACAAATAAATAAAATTTTCTAAAAGGAGAGAGAAAAGGACCCCTCACTAGACACTGTAAAAACATGCAATTTATAGCTCCCTTTTGGAACCGAGAGCGCAGTCCCGTGGGGTGGCGGCGGAAGGTGGAGAAGTAGGGGCAGAAATGTTTTCTCTCGGTTTTGCCGGAACTTTGGCCACCCCTCCCGCGCGGCCGGATGGTGGATGGAGGTCAGCCAGGGGAAGGCGTCTGGGTGGAGGCCGCCCGGGCGGGGCGGAGCGCAGCGCCGGCAGCTGGCGGGGCGGCCCTCGGGCGGGAGGCCCCGCGGGGGCTGGGGCAACCCAGGCGGGAGGCCCCGCGGGGGCGGGGAGCGTCTGCGTGGCTGGCCGGGGGGAGCCGGGCCAGCACCTGGGCCCGCAGGGCGGCCGCAGTCGCGCTGCCCCCGGGGCGGGGCGGGCCAGCTGCGGCCCCGCGGGGGGAGGGTCGCCCGAGCCTGACCTCCGGCGCTGGCGCTCGGCCCGCCGGCCCAGCCTCCGCCCTGCCGGCTGCTGGGGTCGCGCACAGTGCACCGCGCGGCTGCCCTCCCCTCCCCTCCCCCCGGGGCGCAGCGGCCGGGCGGCCTGGGCGCCCCCGGGTCTGGCCCTTCACCACACAGCTGCGGGTGGGGCGGCGACGGGGAGGTGGCGGCCCCAGACAGCCGGCTGGGCGACTCGAGGAAGGAAGGAGGGAGGGTGGCGGTGGGGGTGGGGCAGGGAGGGAACATCCTGTCTGCGCCGGGTGCACCGCAGACAGCGCCGCGCGCCAGCCGCCCAGACGGCGCGCGGGGCCAGGAGCGCCGGGCGCGCGCCTGGGGGGAGGGGCGCGCGCGAGACGACAGGGCGGGGAGGGGGCGCCCTGAGGAGCCACAATAGGCCAGACGGCGCGCGCGTCCCCGAGAGGGCTGGGAGCCTCGAGCAGGCGACAGGGGCGACGCCGGCGGGCCCGCGCGCGCGGTGCCGCCGCTGGCTCCGCTCCCTCCCCTCCCCCTCCCCGCCGCCCTCGCTCTCCCCCGGGCGGCCGGAGACGGCGGCGGCGTCTGCGGGAAGCCGTGTGTCTCCGCAGTGACGTGGGCGGGCCGAGGGCTCGGTGACGTCAGAGGGCTGTGTGTAGCGATGTGTGTGGGGTTCGGAGCGGCGCCGGCACAGCCGAAGGGAGCGGGCGAGCGGCGACGGCGGCGGCGGGCACAGGTGCGGCCCCGGCTCGCGGGGGGTAGGTGGCGGGAGGCAAGGGGCGCGCGGCCTCCGGGGGGCCGGACGGCGGCGACAGGGGTGGCGGGGAGTTAATGAAGCTCGAGCTTCCTCGGGCGCCGAGGCCCGGGTCGGGGGTCCAGATGCGCGGGTCCCGGGTGGGGTCGGGCCAGTGAGGGGCGCGGGGCGCGTGTCCCGCGGCAGATCACGCCTCGCTGACCCTGGGCGGCGGGCGCGGGCTGGGCACGGGCGCTGCACTTGACCGGAGCCGCCGGGACCCCGGAGACCGGGAGGACCGTGGCCGCCCCCTCCCCCCGTCCATCAGCGCTGCGCGGGGATGCCCCGGGCTCGACCCGGTGGGTCAGCGCCCGGCGGCGCGGTGTTCGGGGCTCGGCGCCCGGTCTGCCCGCGGTCCCCTCTTCGTTTTGGCCCGGGGCGGGTGGAGGGGAGGTTTAGCCGTAGGGGCGCCGGGGTAACACCCGAGAACTTCCCGAGGAGAGGGTGCGCGGGGGATTTCCACAGTCCTCCCCGCGGCCCCCGCAGTGGGGCGGTGTTGGGAGGGCACTTGGGGTTATCCCGGGCTCGCGGGTGGGGGTTGGGGGACTCCTCCCTGTACTTCCTTCCCTCCACCTCCTTGCACACCCCCAGGCTTCCCGGTCCCTTGTGCTCCTCCTCTTCGGGTTAGAGATGGGTGGGTGGCTTTTCGTGGGCGGAGAAGTTTAGGGTTTTAGGGGCTCCCCCATTCTAGGTCATTGCCTCCTGCCCTCTTCCTTGGCCTGCGCTGACTGAGGTGTTCCTCTCGTGGGCGAGTCAGTACGACGGCTGGTGGCATTGGTCCTAGATCCTTTAGGTCTGTTTTAAGGTAAATTACTAGGAGGTTGGGAAGGAAATATTTGTATTTATTGGATTTCTTTTGGGTTTTCTCTCAAGAAGGAAGTGGAAGAAGAATCTTTTCCACTCTTCCTCCATTTGCATTCTTTGTGAGATTTGGCTGCCTTGTGCTTTTTGTCCCGGATTAGTCTTGTTCATGGATGGAGATTCCCAGGCGTAGAGTCTATAGCTTTTGGCTTCCATTAAGCAAAATCGCTAACCTTTTAAAGGGAAAGTTAATTTTTGCCTACAGTCATTCCAGAAAAATATCGTACAATGACTAGATGAATTAATGCACTTAAAATTGTAACTTAGTTACACATATGGTAGATGTGTTAACTTGTTAACTCTGATTTATTTATTTTTTGATAAACTGGTATTTTTTTAAAATTTAGGAAATGAAGTAATGGATTACTTTTTTCTTAAAAATGGCATAAGTGAGAAAGCTTCTGGTCCTGAGTTTTGGATGAGATGATCTGTTTAAGGGCCTTTATATTCTGAATTCAAATAGTCTTTTTGAGGGATATTATTGCTCCCTTTACCCACCTTCCAAATTGCTTCCCTATTTAAATGAACGTTCTAGTAAACTGGTGTTAGATTTAAAGAAATCACTCAAGTGTCACCTTTGGTAAAGTGAACTCAGTTTAAAATTAAGAAACTGGTTTCAAACTGACCCTTTGGCCTCTGGAGCAAATTCAAATGTAACTCTTCCCCACCCCCCTTCTCTTCTTCCAGATTATTTAAAAGAAGAATGAACTATAATCCTTGAAGATAACTGGGCAGTTTTTTTTAAGTATCATTGTTGGTTGTAGAAGTTCAAGAGGAGTCAGAGGCTGTTCTTACTGGTGTGAGGATTTATACAAGTATTCAGTTTTTCAACACAGACCATCATTTTTAGAGGAGATACTCCTGCTGCCCCCAATTTTGGTGTCCTTGGTGGCAAAAATTAGATTTGGTTGCATCATTTTGATTTGTGTTTGAGTCTCAACACAAGTAATGGCATAAACTTTCCACGTGTTTTGCTTAAAACAAATCATTGCATTGAATCTGGACATCTTGAATTGAGAAACTGGTAACTTTATTTTAATACATATAGCTGAAGAATTCAAGAAAACAAAAGCTTCCTCAGAGGTGTGCTTCTGAAAATTATATTCTTTATTATTAGAGGCAAAGCAAGAAATTTTATAGCATTTGTAGTGGAATTATACTAGATTATAAACAGAACCGAAACAAAGTTGCAAAATCTATTGAGTAAGGAGATCTCTCTTTGGAAATTTAAATTTTCTGGGAGCAAGTTACCATAATCATTTGTATACATTACTTTTCTCTCTTCAAATAAGCAACTGAATAAAAATGCAAATCTCAGGCTTAATTATTTAAAAGAATAGCGAAGCAATGGAAAACCTACAGACTAATTTCTCCTTGGTTCAGGGCTCAAATAAAAAACTGAATGGGATGGGAGATGATGGCAGCCCTCCAGCGAAGAAAATGATGATAGACATTCATGCAAATGGAAAAATGATAAACAAGGTGCCAACAGTTAAGAAGGAACACTTGGATGACTACGGAGATGTGCCAATGGAATCTGATGGAGAGCATGTCAAGCGAACATGTGCTTCTGTGCCTGAACCTTTAAATTTAAATCCCAGTTTGAAACACACTTTGGCACAATTCCATTTAAGTAGTCAGAGCTCTCTGGGTGGCCCAGCAGCATTTTCAGCTCGGTATTCCCAAGAAAGCATGTCACCTACTGTATTTCTGCCTCTTCCATCTCCTCAGGTTCTTCCTGGCCCACTGCTCATCCCTTCCGATAGCTCCACAGAACTCACCCAGACTGTGTTGGAAGGGGAATCTATTTCTTGTTTTCAAGTTGGAGGAGAAAAGAGACTTTGTTTGCCCCAAGTCTTAAATTCTGTTCTCCGAGAATTTTCACTCCAGCAAATAAATACAGTGTGTGATGAATTGTACATATATTGTTCAAGGTGTACTTCAGACCAGCTTCATATTTTAAAGGTCCTGGGAATACTCCCATTCAATGCCCCATCCTGTGGGCTGATCACATTAACTGATGCACAAAGATTATGTAATGCTTTATTGCGACCACGAACTTTTCCTCAAAATGGTAGCATACTTCCTGCTAAAAACTCATTGGCCCAGTTAAAGGAAACTGGCAGTGCCTTTGAAGTGGAACATGAATGCTTGGGCAAATGTCAGGGTCTGTTTGCACCCCAATTTTATGTTCAGCCTGATGCTCCATGTATTCAGTGTCTGGAGTGCTGTGGAATGTTTGCACCCCAGACATTTGTAATGCATTCTCACAGATCACCTGACAAAAGAACTTGCCACTGGGGCTTTGAATCAGCCAAATGGCATTGCTATCTTCATGTGAACCAAAAATATTTAGGGACACCTGAAGAAAAGAAACTGAAGATAATTTTAGAAGAAATGAAGGAGAAATTTAGCATGAGAAATGGAAAGAGAAATCAATCTAAGGCAAGTTTGTTTTTTTAAATAGCAGTTTTGAGTAATGGTGATGGTTTACTTTGAAATCAAAATTCTGTATTTCATGTGTAACTTGTGTGTTGTTAAGAAACATATTACTCATGCAATAACAACAAAAAATAGTGATCAGTATAATATGTTGCAAATTTTAGGCTATAAAGTGCTTTCCTATTTGTTTTCTTATTTGACCTTCCAAACAACCTTGTGAGAGTATGATTATTACCATTTTACAGATAAAGAATGGGAAAGCCACTTGATCTCTCTGAAGGAGTTGGGATTGCTTTCTCAAGTCATGTCCTCTTTCTTTTTCACACAGCCTGCTTCTTGATGACTAAATCTGCTGTTTTTCTAGGACTCAAGATAATTTGCACATTGGTATTATCTCCATTGCAAATGATATAATGCCTAGTCAAAACAATTCTTGTGGTGGGCTCCAAACAGCATTTTTCAGAGATACACCTATGCTATTGATGTTGTTTCTATGCTTGGATATTCATGCTTGATCAGTGTTGAAACAGGTGGAAAAGAGATTTATTTGAATAATTTGTGATTCTAGTAAGCAAGATTTTTTTTTTAAAGAAAGGAATAATTTTTTAAATTATGACTAGAGCTAGAATAAAGAGTTTATTTTAGACTAATGAAATGTTAAAATAAAAATCTATCAGCAAAGAATTCTTAAACTTATTATTTTTCTCACTTATATGGTAGGCTAAACTAATATCTTCATTCTAAGACTTTGAATGCCCTAGATAATGGACAAGATTTGGGTTATTAAATATTCAGTTTGCCGATCTAGTTATTTTATGTATTTCTCTACTTGATTAAAATTGATATACAATAACAATATATAACACTAAGTGTTTAAAATGTGGCAAGCATTGCTCTTGAACAATTTTATGTGTATAATTTTATTTAATTCTTACAACCAGAGGTTGGTTATGTATCTTTTAGGAACTTTTAATTTTTCTCCTTGTTTTGATTTCTTGAAATATCTCTGCCCTTTATTTTTTACAGAAGAAATGAATGAAGCATAATAAATGACAGTTATTCACAGCAAAGTTAGAGCTTGGACTAGAACTAAAATTTGGTATCCTATGCCTTGAGGGAAATTTAGTTAACAGTGTAGTATTAAGACTGGTTTGCTTTTGAAGCCCAATGAAGATAATAATTTTAGATTCTTCTTTAAGGTAGTTTGCTGCTTGTTGCTTCCAAAAGGTCAACACTTATAAAAAAATTCCTTGTCAGTGGCTGCTAGATAAGTTTAAACTCTTCAGGTGCAGTAATTAATGATTTTTAAATGATTGACTTCAAGTGTGGAACTTGCTAACAGCTGTATTTGTTCTATGCTAAAGTTTGTGTTCAGAGATTATCTATATTCTTAAAATACGGAATGCCTCTTTTGATATTTATGATACCTTGCCCCTAAGCTAATTAGGAGGCTCACTCTTACATGTCTATAGGTGGCCACATTATTTGCCAAATATTGTTGCTCCAGTTTTTGTTACTCTGACATAAACATTGAGATAAACTACTTCGCCTAGTATTCTTTCTCTGTTTATATGAAAAAATCTGAGAACCATGATAAAGGTTAAAAGAAAGATAATGGTTGAATTTATTTAACTGAAACTTAATGGGCTAAGATTTGATTAAAATTGAAACCATTCTTCATCTATCTGGGATGTAGTCCCTTATTGTCTTAGAATTTGTTAATTTTGAATACATTTTTTTATTTTGGGAAGGTGCGAGTTTTTTCCTATCTTTTTGTTATGTTATTTTTTGCAATGTTTGCTTTAGTGTTTAAGTTTTGGTATTGCTTCTAACTTTATGTGAATTAAGGAAATTTACGAGAATTTAAGAAATTTTTAGCAATCAAAACTTTTAAGTAAGATTTTTTTTTTGGTTCATGTTTAATACAAACTTGAGTGGTTGTCTTACACTTGCCACTTCACATTTTAAAAATTTGCTCCTCAAAACATTGTGAGCTATATAGTTCTTGAAGGTCTATGAGGAAGGTGAATTAGACTATTTCCCCCTCTCAGATGGATCATGTGCTACTAGTTATATAACTAGTAGATGGTAGAATCAGGAGTTGAATGCAGGTCTTCTGACTTGAAATTTAGTAATTTTCACTAAATGTAGTACTATAAATTGAATTTTGAGAAACAATAACTTTAATTATCAGTTGCGCATCCCAAATACAAAATATGAAATGCTCTAAAATCTAAAATTTTTAAGTGCTGAAATGGCACTCAAAGAAATGGAGCATTTCAGATTTTGAATTTTTGGATTTGGGACGCTCGACTGGTATATAGTGCAAATATTCCAAAATCTGAAATTGGAAACACTTCTAGTCCCAGGCATTTCTGATAAGGGATGATTCCTAAACTCTTAACCTGCATATGTAGACTAAAGTATTTAACTGGGAAGGGGACAAGGAGATGGTACTTGACTGGGGAATATTTTTCATTATCTTTGTGAGTCAATGAGTAGGTTACCAGACAAACCAAACTGTCCCAGAGGGAGCTGTTTTAAAAAGTCAAACTTTTTTTTAGAGACTGTATTAAGTATATTAACATGTTATATAAAGGACCTTATGTTGGTGTGAATACTAATGTAATTTGATATGTCTATATAGTTTATATTGTTATTCATTTTTGATTAAAAATAAAAAATAAACCTGAAACTCAGTAGGCAGTTGTAGCACCTTTTTTAAAGCATAAGAATTATATATTAGTAATAAACCAACAAACTACTTATTTGCATAGCTAATAGCTATATTTAATTTGCGTAGTTAGCAGCTATATTTAGATGGGAGAAATAAGTTGTGTAAGGTTAGAGGTCTAAGTAAAGAACCGAAATTTCTTCTTTGTAGAAACTAAAGGTATATTTTGAATTCTTTTTTACTGAGGTCACCACAAGAAGTAAACTTGATTTTAGATCTGCCTACGTTGCTCTGCAGGATGGTGTTATCAAACTATCTGATATGAGCTTTTTGTGCTTTTTATTGGAAAAATGGTTATTGTATTTTATGGTGTGCAGATAAATGTAAGCATATATTCCTCATTCTTTTTCACATTTTCATTGATTATTTAACAAAATCAGAAATAGATCAAATTTATTTAAATTAAAAATAAAAAATTAAAATAAATTTGATCTAATTCCGATTTTGTTGAATATTGAATTTTTTGGGGAAAAAGGTTGCTAATCAAATTAACCATTTATAAATATAATTTGAAGGGTAATGTTTACTTAAGATTACTTTCAAGCACATTAGAAGAGGCCATTTATAGTGCATTGAAAGAAAATTACAGGTGATTCTTCACTGTTACAGCATTTGGCTGACAATTTCAGCTTTACTAAGTTAAGGATAATATATGCCCTTAGAAGACTGTATTTTAAAATTTAGATTTCTAACATTCTGACTGGACTACTCTTGGGTGAGTAACAAAATATAGGATTTACTTGGGAAAAAATGAATTCCACAGATTATCTATGATACAAATAGATGACCTAAAGGTATCAACTTTTTAAAAATTTTCCCCTGAAAGCATATTAACTATTTCACTATGATTTAACTTTGCATTTTTGTTTCACTTCTTCATTTCTGCAGAGGTCATTAGAATAATAATTGTACAAAAAATTTCTCCCCTCTTGCAAGATACTGTACTTTTGTTTAGGAAAAGTGTTTTTCAGTATAAACCTAAATGAACTGAGGAAATACACTAGAGAGAATGGGCAACTACAAAGTGAAGTGTGGGGACAAAATATGTTCCAGTTATAATTGTGGTAGATTTGTTGGTGATTTGTTACTTCAGTGGTGTAGTGCAGTTTGTATTTTGTGATTAGCAACAATTTTGATCAAGTGGGAATAAGATCAGAGTCAGATGAAGTATTTGTGCTCATATGAGGAACCAGTAGGAATTTTTTTGTATTACTTTCTAAATTTGATAACTATTTCCATGAGTTTACTTGCTAAAATGAAGTATGAAAGAAGAAAGTGTGAAACAGGTTTGCTGTAAGCAATGAAACATTTTCTGAATCATTTCATTATTTTAGACTTGCAGTCCAAAAAGGTACATTGATTGGTTGTCTTGGAGATAGTGCCCATTCCCATTATTTGGTTGAGAGCACATTGAGGTCTTCAGTGATGGAGACCAACACAAACTTGTTTAGATTGGGTAAGAGTTTGTTTTGAATACCTTCCTCATTTCTAACTGCATTGTAATGAATTCAGAGTAATCAAGGTTTTGGAGCTCATTCTGTTAGTAGTAGGATTTATGGACTTCCCCTATCCCTGGAATTTTGGGGGAATCTTTAGAATGGCTTTGGGAGTAGTGTCCCTTATGGTTTAGGAAACACAGGATCTATATTCATTTTTAACATTAAAAAATGAAGTTGAGCCAGATGCATTGGCACACCTGTAGTCTCAGCTACTCGGGAGGCTGAGGCAGGATGGCTTGAGCCCAGGAGTTTGAATCCAGCCTGAGCAATGTAGCAAGACTTCATCTCAACAACAAAAAAAGGAATTGTTAGCATTTTAAAAAAAAAGTTTATGATAAAAATCATTAGAAATTTATCCTTTTGGCTTGAGAAATGGGAAAAAATTAGGAAATTTTAAAGAAGAAAAAGAAAAAAAGATTGTCATCTTTTCAGAGTAGGCCTGAATCAGTGTAGTCAGCTAGCCAGTAGTCTTCTATGTTATTGTTTATATCACTGGAAAAACAAGTAAACAAAAATTGTGTTAATTTCAATCCTGTTGTTAGCATTCTGGGAGTGGAAACTGATTATGGAGGTAGAACTCAATTTATTCCAAGAGGTAAGACTAGTTTGGGAATTGCTTTAATAATAGCTTGAACCTGTATTTTGTCCACATACATGATTTTATTATATTGGGATTCATATTACATAAAATAATTTAAGTATTTTATTAGACTCAAAAGCAAAAGAATATATAATTAAACATACATCTTTTTTAAAGGTGTAGTTTGCTT